GGAGCTACTTATGCTTGGAGTGATAGGCATAAAGAAGCATTCGAGAAGCTAAAGAAGAAGCTATGCGAGGCACCGATACTTTCTCTACCCGATGGAGTCGAAGACTTCGTTGTTTATAGCGATGCGTCTGGGGTTGGATTGGGTTGTGTTTTGATCCAAAGAGAAAAGGTGATAGCATATGCATCTCGACAACTAAAAGAGCATGAAAAGAACTACCCGACTCATGATTTGGAGTTGGCAGCGGTAGTTTTCGCTCTGAAGATATGGAGACATTACCTCTATGGCATGAAGTGCAAACTTTTCACTGATCATAAGAGTCTCCAATATCTCTTTAATCAGAAGGAATTGAATATGAGACAACGACGCTGACTGGAATTACTTAAAGAATACGACTGTGAGATGCTTTACCACCCCGGTAAAGCCAATGTTGTCGCTGATGCTCTCAGTCGGAAAGTCAATCTTGAAAGAAAAAGGCAAAGAGCATTGAGAATTGAAGTTGTCTCGACCATTGTGGAAAGTATAAAGAAAGCTCAAGAGGAAGCTTCTGAAAAGAATGACCGAAAGGAGGAACGTTTGGGCAAAAAGTTGGTGTTCGGTGTAAACAGTCACGGATTGAAGGTGTTCCAAGATCGGATTTAGATACCTAAGATAGGAGGAGTCAGAGATATTCTGATGGAAGAAGCTCACAAGACCATGTACTTGATTCATCCCGGTAGCACTAAAATGTATAGGGACCTGAAACTCTACTACTGGTGGCCGACGATGAAGCTTGACATTGCGAAGTATGTGGCTGAGTGTGTGACTTGTGCAAGAGTCAAGACACAACATCAAAAACCGTACGGGAGTTTGGAACCATTGCCTGTGCCTATGGGTTAGTGGGAAGACATTGCCATGGATTTTGTCACTAAACTGCCCAGAACAAAGAATGGTCACGACATGATTTGGGTGGTCGTTGATCGATTCACTAAGAGTGCGTATTTCATAGCAGCCAGGGAGAAATGGTCGATGGAGAAGCTTGCAAATTCTTACGTGAAGGAAATTGTGAGGCTTCACGGTGTTCCGTTAACGATTGTATCGGATCGTGATAGCCGTTTCACCTCAAGGTTTTGGAAAAGTCTACAAGAGGAAATGGGTACCAAGTTATGTTTAAGTACAGCTTACCATCCACAGACTGATGGTCGGAGTGAAAGAACGATACAAACACTTGAAGATATGCTGAGAGCATGTACCTTGGAATTCCTAGGTAATTGGGATGAACATTTACCATTGGTAGAATTTTCCTATAACAATAGTTTTCACTCGAGCATTAAGATGGCACCTTACCAAGCTTTGTATGGACAAAAGTGTCGTACGCCGTCTTGTTGGCTTGAGGCTGGGGAAAAGCAGTTTATGGGACCGGAGATGGTTCATCAAACTGCTGAAAAGTTGAAAATAATTAGGGAAAGAATGTTAGCAGCTTAGGATCATCAAAAGAGCTATGTTGACAACAAGCGAAGACCGATGACTTTCGAAGTTGGAGATTCGGTTTTGCTTAAAGTCTCGCCGTGGAAGGGACTTATAAGATTTGGTAAAAGGGGAAAATTAAGTCCAAGGTTTATTGGACCGTTTAAAGTTCTTCAGAGGATTGGGAACCAAGCTTACAAGCTCGAACTACCAGAAGAACTGAATGGAATTCATAACACTTTCCATGTGTGTTATTTGAGGAAGTTCACGGGAGAAGTTCCCGACATGATTCCACTTTCGGAGTTGAGAATCGATGAGAACAAAAGGTTCATTGAAGAACCAGAGACAATCGTTGACTGAAAGACAAAGAAGTTGCGACACATGATGGTCGAGTTAGTGCTTGTCCGATGGAAACACACGAATGGGCCGAATCTCACCTGGGAGACGGAGAGTGACATGATGGGTCGCTATCCGCATTTGTTTGTTGATGTGTGATTCCGGGGACGGAATCATTCTAAGGTGGAGAGAATTGTAACGCCTGTGTTTCTGGGCTTGTCATTAATGTTGGTATAATAGTCTAGGTTAACCTTTGTAACCCGTTTTGAAATAATAGAAGTGTATTATTTGAGTAATATGTGTTATGTGCTAAATTGTGTGTCTTAATTTAATTAAGAATAAAAATAAGGGTCAAAATTAAATGTTAGATAAAGCCTATATTTATGGATAATGTTGTAGTAGTTGAAACGAGGTTTCCGAATATATAAAGAATGCCGAAATCCGAGTTATAACGAAGAAGTTATGACCTGTCGAAGTTTCGCGACAGAACCGGCACGGCCCAGCGCGATGTAAATAGTGAATTTAAGGTAGATAGATATCTATCCTTAGTGATCTAAATGATAATTGAAGATCTCATCGATAGTAGTGCAACGACGGAAAGACGAACGGAATCGGAGTTCAGATGAAGGAGTTATGAATTTCGAACGGAGTTTTCCTGTCCCAGCCTACTAAAGATAATATATAAGTAATATACTTATAATATATTAAAAAATAAAGTCAAAATTAGCCAATGGAGTCTAAACGAGAGTTTTAGAGCATAATCTCACCTTCGTGGCGATATAAATAACGTCTAAAACGGAGTTCGTATGCGAAAGTTATGAATTCCTGAAGTTCGGGGTGCGAAACCCCAAAACTGTCAGAGACCACGACGTGGCAAATGTCCTGACACCTCCGGGAGGCCACCAGATGCAACTTGGGATGACGCATGCAGTGACGACCAAGCCCACGACGTGGAAAAAGGTTGCCACGACATGGCAAGGGCCAAATTTGCCCTATAAATAGATTTGAAGGGCCAACCGTTTAGGGTTGCTATTTTCTCTCTTCCCTCTCCCGTTTTACCTTGATTTGCATTCCAGAAGTACCCCGAAGCCCCGGTAATATCCCTGAGTCCCGAAGCAAGTCCCGAGATCCCGAGAAGTGCGGTTTCCGAGCCGAAGCTCTGCCCGCGAGAAATTCGACTTTATCTTAATATTTTGGCCTTATTTATTCTATTTTAGAACTAAAGAGTACTCATATTACTTTGAATTATGTTTTGCAGCTATTTGTTGTCGATAAAGCACAAAAGAAAAGACTGAAGCGGAAACCGGGCTTAGAAGCTAAAAGAAAGAAAAGAATGATGAGGTAGCGAGTACGCCCCGCGTACACGCTTGCATCGGATAGACTTGATCGCGTGATTATCCAGAGTACGCGCTGCGTAATCCTAAGTACGCCCAGCGTACTTAGGTCGGCCACAAAGATTATAAATGTCGATTTTTAGCTAACCAGGAGGGGGGATTCGACTTCTAACCTAATTTAGTCGATAATTAACTTCTTTTTAGCCGTTTTGAGGGTCTAGAAGGCGGCCGGAAGGCCGTTAAGCTAACGGGAGCAGAGATCTGAAGGATTGGAGAGCGGATACATGTCGGTAATCATATGGATTGCTAACGTGACCATGTTTAGCACTTCCTTATGGTACTTTTTGTATTTAGTTTCTGATTTAGGTGTAAAAACCTTTTACTTTGTGTTTATGATTGAATGAAGTTTTGATTCTTAGACTAATTGTTATGTTAAATAATTTATTTGTGTTTAATTTATCTTGCCAAGCTTGTTCAAAGATCCTCATGTGTTAATGATGATTATTTGCTGTTAATTGTTAAGTGAATTAAGTTGTATGAACACCTGCTTGATTTGCTTGTCTCTTATGATTTTTGATGACCATTGAGATTATAAGACTAGAAATAACGAATGTGAAACTAGGATTAACTTGGGAATAAGTAAGTTAATGTGTGAGCCTTGTTTGATGACCATCAACAAGAGGTTAATTAAATGTTTAAATTAACTATATTTACAAGTCTTGCTTGATACGAACTGAACACTAGGAAGCATGTTAGTTTAATCAATTGATCAATGTTTGAATTGACTTGTTTGCTAAAGGATTAGTTATAGTGAACATGAATCTAATCAATTTAGGAATCGGTGAACATGAATAAATGAATTTGTGTATGCAATTGTTTATGTTTTCAAGGTGGAATTTGTCTAAACCAAAGTACCTAAAGAGATTTGTTTTCCTGTTAGTTTATCGAGGATGGGTAATTAATTATTAGTTTGAGATTTATTAAATTATGTCTTTTATTCTTTTCGTGTGACCTATAATCAGATATATTAAATTAATCCACCGTTCCCTGTGATCGATACCCGACTTACCTAAGCTATACTGTAATCTGACTAGGTACACTACCTATAAGTGCATAGTTAGTCTAAGTTTGTTAGGTTATAAATATTAAAATTAATGGGTACTTTTATGCACATCAAGTTTTCGGCGCCGTTGCCGGGGAACGGCTTGTCATTAATTTATTTTATTTGATTATTCGTTATTTGTTTTTAGTTAGTTTTCATTTTTTAGTTTGATTTTCGATGATATCATTTCACTTGTCAGGAAGGTTCTTGTTTTTATTTTGCAGGAATTTGGGATTGTACACATTGCTTGACTTTACTTTTTGCATGGGTTTCGAGAATGAAAGCGATTAGGGAATTCTTGACTTGCTTAGCCTACTACTTTGTCGATTTGTCCAACTCAATCCATGAGGCGTAGTATAGCAAGGCGTATTGTGGTGGTTAAGTGGAAGACCGAGCTCTTGCTGTTCTTGACTAGCTAGGTCACTTTTTGTTCCGCTTCTAGTTAAAGGTGCAAGGAAAACAAAGGAAATATTTTAACGGGTCCCAAAAGTGGGTGTTTTCGCAAACCAATTCTTGCATGCAAAGGTTTTTGATCAACCATTGTTGTTTGATCTTGACAAAGATAAGTGATTATGACATCTCAATTTTTTTTTATCACTCATCGTGAAGTCATTATTAGCTTAAGAAATTAAAAAGGAAAAAAACAAATAAGTTTTAAGTCCCTAGATGAAATGATTAAAAAGAAAAGGAAATTCAATTAAAAGAAGAAACGGAAATTTTCATTTAAACTTACGCCCCGCGTAATAAGTAGGATTACACCATGCGTAATAAGACCCGAATCGCGGATGAACATGTCAGGGTGTTGGGGTTATGCCCCGCGTACCCTTGTGTTACGCCCCGCGTATATCGGCGACCAGGTATATCTCTTGACCCTTTGACTTCGTTGTTATTTTCAAACCCAATTCCTTTCTCGCATAAGCTGTGATGGCGACTCTCTCCAAAACTTTCAATTGTGCTTCGTTCTTGTTGAATTCGACACTCAAGTAAGCTTTTTCGGTCACTCTATGTTATGGATTTGTGTTTAATTCGAAGGAATAAGCTGCATTTAGCTTTTACTTGAAATCTAGGGTTTATATATTTCTCGAATTAGGGCCGATTTCGCAAATGTATGTGTTGATTAGGGCTTGAATGGACCGATTTCGGTTAATACATTAAACCCTCGAACCTAATTTCGTCTTAATTCCGTCCCACACCATCGATTTGACCTTGGGGTCGTACGCCAAGCGTACCCCTGTGACTTCGAGTTCTCGACTAGGCTTCAATTTTTGACCGCTATGTATGTTTCCTGCTAAATGTTTTCTAATAGACAAAGAACACACAAGGATTGATTCATATTTTTAGGGAGGTCCCGATTCTTCTCCTCCTACTTATGGACCACGCGATGTTTACACATTAACAGTTTGTACCCTTGCTGCGTTATTTGGATATGGGTTATGATTTAGGAACAAGTAAAACTAACAGGGACAGATTCGTGAACCTCGACGTACGCCCAACGTATATTCCAGGACCAGTACCAAATTTTTTTGGTTTAAAAAAAATTATTAATGCTGTGATATTTTGTTTGGATTTGTGTTTGTGTTTGTGCAGATTATGGCTCGAAGGGCACAAAGAACCAACCCTCCCGAGGATGTGACCGATCATCGCTTTTTACAATTTCCGCAAACACTGAGCGATGCTACCAGGGCGCGTTATAGCACCAACTTGAGCCTGCTTCTCACAAAGGAGATTGATATTGCACCCTCTTTCGACTGGGAGTTGGCTACCAGGACTAGACTTGCTGCATTGATCCAGGAATTTTTGCAATACACACACTCGGACGCGAGTGGTGTGGAATTGTTTGTGTGTCATGGATGGGCGCGTTTGTTCAGGATCCAGGAGCCGGTATATCGGGAGTTTTTGCTGGAGTTCTATGCTACAGTTTCCTATGATCCTAGGAAGGCACTCGATGACAGGACAGCCTTTGCTTTCAGACTGGGAGGAGTGAGCCGGGAATGCAGCGTGATAGAGCTTGCGACTCGGGTGGGTATTTACACAGCCGACGAGACGAGGAGTGTCCACTTCCACTACAAGAAAAATAGCCTTTTACGACGCGCAAACCACGACACTCATTGATTTATGTTACGCAATGGAGAGTGACGTTAAAAAAGCGTCATCTCTTCAAAAAATTTAAGGATTTAGGTCACGCATTATTGCGTGCCCTTAAATTAGCGTCATACGAGAAAAAATTAAAAACACGGAGGGCACTGTATCTTAAATGAGCGTCCTCTATGAGTGTCACTTTATAATTTTAATGAAAAGCGCGTTTAGTAGATAGGGGGGAAAATGAAATCCCTAAAATTTTGAACACCCGCCTTCTTTTTTATCCTCCACTTTTGTTTCCTTCTTGCCCTAATTACGATCCTTTCTTCCCCCTCCATAGATTCGACTGCTGCCTTGCCTAGTTATCGACACTCCTTCCTTCGTTCGTCCCTTGCCTTCTTCGCCTGACAATATCTCAAGAAGTACAACTCCGAAAGCGTACAAGCTGCTATCGGTTTCGCCATAGAGTTCTGCCGTTCCAAAATCGCATATTTTCGCGTTGAGTGACTATGATTGGGTTACAATTATGCTTGAGCCGACGATTGGGTTACAATTATGCTTGAAAGTGTGAAGAACTTACATGCTCCATCTACTTATATCCTAGAGCCGACGATTAAGGACCTTACCGCTTCTCATCCCACACAGCGTCGGCGATTTAGGGCCTTACAAGCCCTAGCTCGGATTGCACTAAGAATTTAGCGAGAGAAATCAAGATTTTTGGTCATCATCATCACGTTTGCATTAGCATCCATAGGCTACAGATCTCAAATTCCTCTTCGGATCCTCGTAATTGACCTTTCCCAAGATCTCGATTTGATCAAACATACATATAATTGCAGTCACCGGTCTACAACCTGGTTATATAGTTCATTTTTGCACTAAACATCTCAGGATCTGATCGAGCTCTCTCGCGGTTTCGTTCCCCTTCAAGAAATCTCTTCCCTCTCCCTCTCTCGTAAACCCACCAATTTCTCGCTGAAAGCGCGCGGCCTTTGAATCAGGCATCTATTTTGAAATTTTTGTTCGAGGAAGAAAGGGCTCGCCTTCTTACCCAGGTCTATTTTCCTTCATCTTTTATTTCAACGATTGCTCTGTTTCATCTTTCTTGGTTAAATCATGTCGATTATGCATATGGGTGGGTTATTACACTTTAACGCTCCTTTGAAATCAGTTAGGGTTACATACGAAAAGAAAGAAAACCCTAATCTGAAAGAGCTTTTAGGGTTCTTACAGACCTTCTTCAAGTACCTTCAACATGGTTACGTAGCTGTAGATTACTCACTTTTTTCTTCTCTTATCTTTCCTCTTTGCTTTTACAGGTAATACGACATGATAGTCTGGTACAACTCTTGCTTCTTGGCAGGATGTTACAGGGGACCACCAAACTTCCATGGAAATTTTCACACCATCCAGCTGCTGCTGGTACGTTTTTCACAGTCATGCTACTTGGACTTAAATTCTGCACATGCCAGTATGAAGGGAGCCTACAAAATGTTAGATTGGGAATTCAGCTGCTGGAAGATGGGATTTATCGGTATTACATTCAACTCGTCTTTCTTCATAATATAACATTTTTTATTTTAATTTAAATTCTGAAGTGGAAAACTGAAACCAACTGCAGGGCTGCATTAGGCTGGTTTGCTTACGAACCTGAATGGTTTGAACATGATCATGGAAATTTTGCACACATCGAGGCTCAATCTATTAATTCATTTGTTCACTATCTCCAAAACGATCCAAAAGCACTGGGTGGGGAATATGGGGGATCTTTTCTTGACATGGTAAGACACCGATATTGCTATTTATGATGTTGTGTTTTATGATTTTTTATTAACAATGAACAATCTCAGAAGGATCACTGTCACCCTGTTTGGGGACCAATGGAGAACTATGCAGCTTGTAGAGATAAGAGGAAGCAGCTACTTTTAATGTTATGCCAGCATGAAGCTGACAGGCTTGAAGTTTGGGCGCAACCTGTTAACTACAAGTAATTTCATCAACTGCAATTTTGCAACATGTGATCTCTTTCATCTTTTATTAGTTATCAAGTCCATTACATGTTCATAATAAAATACTATATTCTCATGATTTGTATTTCAGGGCCCAAAAGGTGTGTGTCTGTTTTCAAAAGGGCCCACATATTGTTTTACATTTATATTTACTATTTTATCCTCTTCTTTTGGCAGACCTCATGACCGAGTCCCTTTGAAAGACATGAAAGCAGATTGGAAAACCATGACATATCAAGAACTACCATTGGCCAAGGCTCGTCTACATGAGCTAGAATGAGTAGCATCAAGTCGACAAAACGAGGTTATCATTATATAATAATTCATATAGATCCTTTCTCATCTGTTTTTTGGTGAATAATGGGATTCTAAGTTAGTTGTGTGTGTGATGTGGATGATGCAGAATTTGATAATGTAGCATCTAGAGCATTTAGCAGGGGATTTGATTCATCTGTTTCAAGGGATATTAAGATATGCTCCATTAGAGAGGGTAACAACACGTGCAGCATTAACACATCCTTTCTACACCAGGGACAATCTGAGTAGACGATACTAGCTGCTGCTAACAATATCAAAACAAAGTATGTGGCGGTCAATCTAAATCTGCACATAGAAGGAAGGAAGGATGTTTTTGCTGTAGATGTTTTTATTTCCCGAGGGTATGTTTTGAGTTCCTACTGCACTGCTGTGTGGAAACCCCACCCACACATCTTATTGACCACCTTGAAGTCAAATTTATGTACAAAGTACAAACAAACAAACAAATGTAGAAAAAGAAAAGAGAGATGATTACAAGGTATGTGAAAGAGGAATGGGCATGGTTATGTTCTTTATCCAAGGTATTTTGGTCTTCTCTTTCTCTTTCTCTCTCTCTCTCTCTCTCACACACACACACAAACACATGCATACACAACATGAAGGATCTTTAAGTTTTTAAACATTGAGAATAAAGTGTTCATTGTATTTCAGTTTATGGAGAGACAGCTGGTTGACTGTGAATGATCTTATTTTACAGACACACAAGGTATTAGTGACATACAATTTCATTGGTATTTCACTTTTTTTAAATTTAATTTAATTTAATTTAATTTTGTTCTCATTTTCTGTGCATACGTGCTTCATTTTGAGCAGTTTCTGTGTAGTTGAATGCTGGATTTTGATCTCTGGTTTCCCTAATAATGCTTTGGACTGAATGAAAGAAGTAGCAATGTATCATCACTGATCATGACACAACACCGAGAGGTCATCTTTAACAAAATTATCTTTATTATATGTGAATTACATGACAAAAATTTCAAATAACTTATAAAGATTTCTTTTTTTAGAAAATCAGCTTATAAAGACTGATCAAGTGAACATACTGATTAGATCACTTCTCCTTAAGCAACAACAAAGTCTGGAACAACTTCAAAGAATGCAAAGGGTGCAGGCACAAATGAGGGTTCAAGAAAGAGGTATTTAACTTTTTTTTGTTACACATACTTGTTTTTTATGCTCGCATTCATGGGATTAGTATTTATATATTTTTGGGAATGAAACATTACCATTTTCTCCCTAGGGACCCATAAAGAGCTACAGATGGTAGGGTTTCTGCTAAGAGGGCTTCTGATGAGATCACTTCTTAATTTACCTGTTTATATTTGAAACTGAAATGAACCTGTTGATCATAAGAAGTTACTTGAAGATATGAAGTCAGAAGCAATGAAGAATTTTGTTGTAGAAGGTCAACAAGTGTTGTTGACCATGGAAGGTAAGGATTTGACTCTAGAACAACAGAAAGAGCTTAACGAAATCAGGAAAAAGAAAAGTATATTAATTCGTGAACATAGAATCAAGAAAAGCACAGCTGAAAGCAGACCAATTGTTCCAAGAAAATTTGATAAGACAAGAGATTTACATCTGAGAGAAATGGTCATCATTAGGGCTTGATCCATCAAAAGCAGTGTAAAGGGTGAGAAGTGAGTCAAGGGGTAGAAAGAGGGAGTGGTCATCTAATTTGTTTGTAAATTTTTGTTAAAACTTCTATTGATTTGTTTTATCTTTCCATGGAACGATTATTTGTATGACATTAAATTTATGCAATGGATTCTATTTTTTCTCTATGATATTTTATTTTCTATAATGAAACATTAAATACAAATTTAATTTGAAAATAAGTAAATCTATAAATAATATTTTTTCTAAACATTTAAAATTATGATACGCAAAAATGTGTATCGTCTTCATTTATGACATGGCCTTTCTTGACGGGGGCTTTCTTGATACGCATTGCGTGTCATTAACACGCGCGTCGTAAGGTTATGACATGCGAATGCGTATCGTCTTCCTTTATGACAGGGCCTTCCTTGATACGCATTGCGTGTCGTAAATGCGTGTCGTAAATGCGCGTCGTAAATGAGCGTCGTAAATGCGCGTCGTCTCTCTTTATGACAGGGCCTTCCTTGACGCGCATTTGCGCGTCGTCTGTGCCTTTTACGACGCGCAATGAGCGTCGTAAAAGGCTGTTTTTCTAGTAGTGTTCCCGACATTCCTTGCTGACTGTCTCACGGACCGGCCGGAGGACTATAATGAGAACACCTTTTGGGCCGAGATTACGGGAGGAGTTTATACACCATCTACCGCTCGAGGGGGGATGATTCGGTCTACTACATACCGAATGTTGCACCGGATGATTTCTATGTCTCTCACGCATCACAAGAATAGCGAGAGAGTGCCTTCGACGGACCTGTATTTCCTATGGGCACTAGTTACTCCAGGGAGGCACCTGAACCTTCCAGTTGCTTTAGCTGCATACTTGGGACGGAGGGCCAGGGGACTTCGGGGAGATAGCCCAATATGCGGAGGGCATTTTATCACACGATTAGCTCGATCATATCAGTTGATGACACGTGAGATCACGAGATCGATGGTGTTTCACGACATGAGGCCGATGAGTCTTCAGCTATTGGAGTCGATGCGCGTATTAGAGCGGGGTGGAGATGGTGTTTTGAGGGTTCGAGCAGATGATGTGGCGGATGAGGAGGGTGCCGCCGAGCCACAGCCGAGACGGGTCCCGCGGCGTCGACCTGCTCCTCGGGGAGCGCAGCAGGGACCTGAGCCGGAGATCGATATGCACTACTTAGCCCAGGGCATTGACCGTCTTAGCGAGTATGTTGCACATGTGGATGCGCAACAGCGGTGGCAAAGGAATGCATTGAATGCATTCTTTGCCCATCAGGGATTTCAGTATTCGGTTCCCTTTCCACCACCATTCCAGTCACGATTTGATGGGGCCGGTACTTCTGGGACACAGCCACATGATGATGGAGATGACGAGTGATCTTTTTTTTTTATTTTTTTTTTATTTTGTTTATTTGTTTGTTTTGTGTTATTTTTAGTTTAGTTTAGTTTTTAGTATTTGGTATGTAATTAAACTTTGATTTAGTTTGATTTAGTTTGTTTTCCATGTTGATGCACTTTGGTTGTTTTGATTTCTGCAGAATTTTTGCCCTTAGGAAGCTGGCGGTAAGTTCAGCAGCTAGGTCCGACTATTAGAGTTGTATTTCGATGCAAGGAAGAAATATCGTTCGATGCAAGGAAGAAATATCGTTCCGACTGCCACGACGTGGTTGACACTTTCCCACGTCATGTGATTTCGATGTGAGAGTTCGAAGATTATAGTCAAGACCCTCAATTTGTCATAAGTGTGGGGTGCATCTTTATTAGAGTTGTATTTCGATGCAAGGAAGAAATATCATTCCGACTGCCACGACGTGGTTGACACTTTCCCACGTCATGGTTATTATACATTGCATCTAATTGCAATATTTTGCACCACATTTTCGAAGATGGCGGTCTTGATTTTATTTTTCGGCAAATTTAGAAGCAACAGTTCCAGTTTTCAGTTTTTCAGCAATATTTGAAGCAACCTGTAGCAGCCCCATTCGATCTCGCCACAACTACCCAGGGGAGTCTGTTCCTTTTTCTCCTTTTTTTATGTTCTTAATTTGTTTTAGCATACAATGAGGACATTGTATGAAATAAGTGTGGGGTAGGGGGTCGGTAAAAGTAAATTAAAATTAAGAGAAAAATGAAATTGCTAGATTTTAGAAAATTTAAAATTTTGAAAAAACTTGAAATAATAGTTTAATTTAGAAAAATCTAGTGATAATTTAAAATTTTGCTAATATTGTATGAGATGATCCGATGAGAACTCAAATGTTTAGTTGAGCCAATATACGTTATAGTGCATTTGTGGCTTCCCTTATTTTAGTGAAATCATGGAACAAAAACATAATCCCGCTCGGTTTGAAGGATGCAATATGTTTAGCAACCTAAACCTGAAATGTATCCAGGAAAATTATTATCGTTAACCAATAAAGGTTGAGGTTGAGCGCCTCTACTTAAGCATGTAGGTTTTGAGCGAAAAAAGAGAGGTACATGTAAAAAAAAAAAAAAAAAAAAAGAAGAGAGAATTACGAAAAAGTTTGAAGAATTTTGGAGCAAATAAAGTGAAGATCAAAAAATCAAAATTCTGAAGAAATCCAAAAAGTTGAAGATACCAGAAATCAATTCAAATAAGGTGTTGAATTCAAAGAAATCGAAGATCAAAATGTCAGAGAAATGAAGAATTCAATGAAAGCTCCATAGTGGTATCGGAAAATTGTAATTCTAGATTATGTATGCTTAGGTTGCTCAACTAAAAATACCTTGAGGTTAGGAGGTTTTCTGCAGATGGATTCGGAGGGTTGCATAAAATGAGCATTGTTCGGAAAAAGTGGGCAAGTGTTTATGAAGATTGTGAGTATTTAAAGTATGGGGGTACTTAGGAAAATTTTAGACACAAATGCATGCGTTGAGGTCTTGGCATAATGGCTGAGTTTTAAATGGATTGTTTAGTGCGATATTGGTAAAATAAAAGTAAATTTGCTTAGGGGCAAGCAAAGGCTAAGTGTGGGGTATTTTGATATGTGTATTTTTATATATATTTTTATGCACTTTATCTTAATATTTTGGCCTTATTTATTCTATTTTAGAACTAAAGAGTACTCATAATACTTTGAATTATGTTTTGCAGCTATTTGTTGTCGATAAAGCACAAAAGAAAAGACTGAAGCGGAAACCGGGCTTAGAAGCTAAAAGAAAGAAAAGAATGATGAGGTAGCGAGTACGCCCCGCGTACCTTAAGGTTACGCCCCGCGTACACGCTTGCATCGGATAGACTTGATCGCGTGATTATCCAGAGTACGCTCTGCGTAATCCTAAGTACGCCCAGCGTACTTAGGTCGGCCACAAAGATTA